TAAACATCCATTGATGGCGATCATTACCACTAACACCATGGTCTTTGAGAAAAAAAATCACGTGTGTACTCTAAAATGTCAACATCCATTGGAAGTCGTATAATTACATATTTGGAAAGTCTATTAGTAAAATAAGTTGCAATTTAACAGAAAATCGTTCTACTGGAATTCTTTATTACATTGATAAGAAATCTTTATTTCATGTCTTTTTTTTTAGGAAGTGGCTATGTACACTCAGGTAGGTATTATCAAAATATTACTAAATATTGAGTTATATTATAGCCACATATGTTCTTTATAATTATTATAATTAAAATTTATCAATTGATTAACAATTTTGCTCTATTTATTCTTCTTTATTAAATTCAAATAAAATACAAAGCAAGTATTAGAATCAAAATAATATAAAAGAGAAAGTTAATTCAAGTAAAAATCGACTGATTTACAAATATTTCTAGCATTTACTCTCTTAAATTCTTCAAGGAAATAGTTGTATTTTTGTTATTTTCAATATAACTAACATTAATCATCAGAAAATATTTTTTTATAAAACAATAACGAAAAAATTTTCTTTTACATTCGTTTCTGATTGTATCTCTAACTTTGACAGCTATTTTTTCTCATCTTGAAAGAATCTCAGTTTATAATCTTGTTTTAATTCTTATTCTTTAGTGAGGATTAATCAATGGATCTTGAAAAAAGGATATCTCATTCCAGATTGAAAGCTAATTGGAATTTTATGTTTCTCAATTTCCCATTTTGTAAGCTAATTAATCAAGAAAAAGTAGAATCTTTCGTTCTATAAATTATCAATAGAGAAAGAAGGCACAATTAATAGAGAAGAAAAGCACTGGCATCAATATAGTTTCCGTCCGATGTATTGAAAATAATAAAATGCAATCATTTCGTTCAAAATCTAAGAGATCAAGCGCTAGAAATATTTCTAAATGAGTTGACTTTTATTTGAATTAACTTTTTCTTTTATATTTGTTTGATATTAATACTTGTTTTATACTCTATTTGAATTTTACAATAAATAAATAGAGTAAAATTATTAATAAATTAATAAATTTTACTCATGCTAATTATGAAGTACATATATGGCTATAATATATCTCAATATTTAGTAACTAGTTGATAATACCTACTTGAGTGCACATAGCTGACTGGCTATGTGTACTCGAGTGTACATAGCCAATACACTAAGATGCGGCTATGTGCACTCGAGTGCACATAGCCACTTCCTTTTTTTTATGTACCTGATTTCGCTTGAACAACTGAATATACGTTCTTCCTTAATTTCTTTTCTATTTTCAACCTTAAGATAGAGAGAAATAGCATACCATAGTCGTAACATTACGGAAAAATGGTTTATATTTATGCAGTTTTATTATTAATTTCTATGCTTAATAAAAGATTGTGCGTGTTAGAATCATTCCTCACTTCTCTAAGCAATATGAAGAACAAATTAATTCCACAAATAGAGCTATTCGAGAAAATATAACCAATTTTATTAGGAACAAATTGAATGCTCAGTATAATTTATGGCTCATAAAAATTAATAATTTGTGGGTGTAGGTGTTGCCGTTAGAAAGGTTGAATTCGACTATCCCAAAAAAACCGAAACAGAGAACCGAGTTTTTAAAATTTCTTGCAACCGAAGTCGTGGAAAAACCCCCATTGGAACCGTTAAATCATGAGGTAGATACAAAAATTCTTAAATCTATATAGAGAAATCTTTATTTTTTCATTCTTCAGATTAAAAATTTTAGAATATATATATATATAATGTTGTTTTCGTTAATACTGAAATATGAAGTACCTTTAATCTCAACCATTCAATAGTAAAAATTTCTCAATATTTAAAATTTTCGTATCGATCTCATAATTTAACAGTTTCGATTGCATGTGATATTTTCGGAGCCGAGCCGACATCTTTTTTTTTTCATTTTTAGTATCCGAAATCACAGTTTCAGTGCTGATTACTTTTTGGAATCGTCAAACTCTATAGGAAGGCCGATGCCGCCACCCAAACCTACATCCACAACCTTAAATAATAATCATTGTCAATGAATAAAAGATGATTACTACTCATAAATTATTTATCATCTTTTGTTTATTAAGTGGATATATATTAGACAATAACCTGTCGGGTAATTGAAAGAATCATATATTTAACAGTCATTTCCAGATCATATACCACGCATATTCAATACAACACTGTTCAAATGAATTGAAATCGATAATACTTTAAGTAAAAGTTTTTCTTTGAATCTTCATTGCGAGAGAAATTTTCTTTTTACTTCTAGATTCAACAAATGTTTATGTATAAACAATGATGTTAACAATACTTATCCGAGAACGTTTCTAAATGTTAAATCAGTTTTAAGTCGAAACTATATGCATCATATAGGCTCTAATGAACTATGAATATCTTAAAAAGAGTTCAAGCTAATAGCTTATAACTGTCGAGATATTGTATTTTTTAGCAGAATGCCGTGGTCTCTTCAAGAACCCTGAGTTTCGATATTTGACTTGAAGCTTTGCATAGAGACAAGCCTTAATCAGAATAGTTTATTGTAGAAATTTTAGATCTGTTGATTGCTTCTATCCTAAGATACGACCATGACAACTACACGGTTTTTTTTTCGTTCATCATATAATATCTCGATCGTAATAAGCTATGAGTCCGAACTCAAAAGCGATTTGACACTTAGAAACGTTCGTTGGTTAGTTTAAAAAAAACACATCGAAATCGCTTCGATATATCTTCATTTGTGAAATAAACAAGTCAATAGTTTTGAACAAATGTAGATTAATCATTACTTTAGAAAAATATTGATTAACTTTTTTTTAAAATTTTAAATAGATAAATATGATATGTTTGAATTGTTATACTGAAATTCTTCATATTCGAAAAAAAATCTCCTACGTTCAACTCAATATTTTATTATAAATACATTTCAACGGATTTAAATCCTTGACCTTTTTTTTCTCTAATCGATTCCATAGAGAGCAATATTTAGCATGATTATCAACTTTATCAAAAAAAAAAAACGAGCTCAAAGAAGAGAATATGATGAATGGCCATTGATGTACTATCAATCGATCTCCAGATGCACAACAAACTATTTATTTGATCACCATATGTAATAACGTCTTTTTTTTTTATATGAATAGACTAAATATCAATTACAGTCTACAGGGAGAAAAGATATTTGTTGCAATCAATCGCTCAAGAGAAAAGATTATGAAACAAACACAATTCATTCAATTATTAATGTTATTGATTTACATCAGATGCATCGAAAATTCTCATAAGTTATTTTGAGAAATAAATTCAAATATAATCTTTAATATGAATTTAAAATATAGAAATACTTTAAAATTTAGTGTATTTCAATTCCAAATCAACAACAAAATTATTCATTGATTAAAATGATTGATGAACATTGTCATCCTTCAGAAAAAGAAAAAGTAAACGTCGTATAGATAATCTTTCAACAATATTATAATGATCTTGTAAATTTAATGGAATATTTAAATGGTTTGTTATTTACAGTTGTTAAACGGAAAAAAAGACACTATCATTTCTTATCTCTTGATTTGTGTATGATTTCTGTTAACATATTATATGCCAAAAATCAAGAATGTCTTGTTAGTTGAAATTTTCAATATTTTTCCTCTTTGTCTTTCTACAGGCAGTCTGGTTTAAAATTTTGAAGAACTTTGATTTGATAATATTCTTCAAAACTACAGATTATAGCAGAACTTAAATTTTAGTATACATTTTTCAAAAATGTGTATCAACTATTTGTCCTTTATCGAGATCTAAACTTTATAATTATTTTTTAGATATGTTCGAACATGAACTACATAAATAAATACTTATATTCTTTTAGTAGAGATTTATACATCACATGGATATTCAACTGCAATAGCTTTTTTCACTTATCGAAAATAATCTTACAAGATATGAAAGTATGATTTTTTGTATGAACATTTTAGGATTGTTCATCGAATGCTTTCAAAAACTACTCGATTAGTTTTGTATTTTTATTTTTTTACTTGTTTATCATACCATTGATCATCAGGGAATATCATCAAGTAAGAATCTATCCAATAATTAGTAGAAATTTTGTCGCGAACTTATTTAAAGACGTCAGATAAGAAGGACAAACCAAGTTAAACAGATGTTTCATACTTAACACATATGTCTTATGACGAACATGGATATGTTATGTAAGTATAAATGTCGATAACGAAAAAAAAAAAGAGTAAGATAAAAATTATCGTTCCAATTTGAAAAAGAAAACATCTGAAGATATTTTAAGATTCAAAAGCAAGAAAGTTCTTTGATATGATTTCATGCGAAAAATTATTCAATAAACTTATACAATAAGCAATAATTCAGTACAAATACATCATTGAAATTAATTAAAAATTTTGTAAGGTGAAAAAAAAAATAAGAAAAGAAATTTGAAGCGATATCTATAAAAATATAGATGTCCGTCATATATGTTGTTCATAAGGATGTATGAAATGCATATGAAAACATCAGAACATGTCTTGTTGTGTTCTTCTTTGCTATAGTCATTTGTCTGATCATATTCTCGTCATCAGTGTCTATAAGGAAAGGAAAAAAAATGAGGGAGAGAGAAAAAAAATCAGATCTTTATGTTGCCCCTCGATGAACAAGACTACTGGCATGCTGCCGAGATATGGCATAAAAATAGAAGGAAACAAAAAGAAGAGAACGAAACTTCAATGTATTTTCTCTTTTCATCACTATTTTTTTTTCCTGTTTTTTTTCTTTCCTATTTTTATACTCTTTTTCCAATTGTAGTACGTCTAGTCCTCTCGAAAAAAAAAACAAGTGAAAAACGAAGGATAAAATCGTTTTTTTTATTGATATTATAAGAATAAAAAAGTTAACATTCGTAAAGAAAAAAAATAAGTAATTTATTTTACTATAATAGATGTCTGACTCGTTGTTGTCTATGGATAAAGACGACATAATTAGTCTTAATACATCTTCTAATCCAACACATTCATCCAATGAACAACGTATTAGCCAAGACGAAGAAAAACATGACGAAGAAATAAATAATTTGTCTGAACTCTCATTAACAGAACATGATGTAAGTTGTTATTATCATAAAGGATTTTATTTCTTTTTTTTTCGTTTATTTAAATAATAAAAGTTCAAAATATTTTCATTTAATTTCAGTCATTTTTTACAATTCTTAAACGTCTTTGTTTTTATTGGCGTCGAATTGTAGCACATAAAATTCGTATTCTATTTGCACTTATATTTATGTCTATGCTCAATATTACAGGACGAATAACATGTTTTACACGGCAACGAACATCTCAATCTTCAACTTCACTTACTACAGCTGTATCTTCGTCGTCAATTCAATCACTTGAAGTAAGTAGATGAAGTTTTTAAAAGTAAAACACAAAGAAACAATAACAAGCTCCATGTATTCAAGATGTATTAATTTCAATACTTAAAACATAGCATAAAATCGAACGATTAGTTCTACAAAAAAGACAAGACGTATTTGAAATTTCAGAAACTATGAAAACAGGAAATTATATATACGAAGTAGTTGAAAATTATTCTTTATTGCAAAGTGTTTTTTTTTTGAATTTTTTTATTATTCCCGTAAGACACTTTCTTATATATCCTTTCTATTATTTTACAATTCTGGCATGACCTCTGATAGCTTCTTTTAATAAATTTTCCTCGAATTGATATTGTTCAGTTCATATTAATTTAACACGTTGTAAACTAATAAACAGAAAAGACAAAAAAAAGGTCTATTCAGTATTCTTTAAGTTATTAACATATTTAGATGACACAAAATATGACCCGTGTGACAAATGAAATATGATTGAAAAATTTTATACAGTAATTTTTCAGTGTATCGCTTATTGATATAATTTTTTTTTTTTCGTTTTTCTCATATATGATATAATATGTATACAAAAATACAATTAGGTAAGAGGCGTGCACGTTTATAATTGATTGCCATTATCATTTATGTTTATGTGAACCTATCGATTCGCAATCTATTAATAAGTTCATCTTTTCTCGTTTGTTTTTTTTGCTTACAAATATCAAGGATGAATAAGCAACCTTTTCAGGCAAATCAATATTTAATAGTTATTACATTATGGACATCAAGAGGTGTACATATGTATATTTATTAAACATAGTTGAATGCACAACATATATACAAAATAAGGTAAACATATCATAGAAGTGAAATCTATCACAGACGGTATGTGTTAAATGAGAAGGAAACGAAACGGAAAGAAGTACGCTCTTATTTTTTTTATTGTAGAATGAATGAAAGAATATAATCGAGTTTTTACTATTAAGTCATCAGTAAATAGAAAAAAGAAGGCTATCTAGGGGTTGATTAGTTTGATTAAACAGAACAAAATAAAATATGAGATTTAAGTTTGATATAGAAAAGGCCTTTCGAAAGCAAATATACTATTTAACTCTTCAATCCCCATACATAAACTTTGTCAACAAGAAAAAACATGATATACAAGCATCTTTTTCAAGTATCTCGTATATGATTTTCTGATCAATAAACAGAGCTTCAATTGAAAATATTTATGTTAATATTTCTTCCTTTATTGATTCTCCAATTACATATGCATATAAAATAAAAATAAAATCCTTATTAGTTTTGAATTATAGTATTTTTCTTTTCTAACTAACCGTTTACTCCACTATTTCTTTGCATTATAAAACAAGCAATGATATTTCTATTTTTTTTATCGTCGAGGGTGGGCAACATATGATATGATCCTTAAACGAGTAATCGGCCCATATCCTCAGTATCATGCGCTAAACATATGTAGTTTTGTAATATTACCTTGAACTTAAGAGTCTCTTTCATTAGTATCATCAAATTATCATAGATTCTTTTCTTTCCTTTATATTTTATTTGTGCTATGATAGCAATATAGGTCATATCTTACATCATACAGTAACTGCATGATTTATACTGTTAAAACTATTAAATGCATCCTCGTTCTCATATGAGCTGCTCTTCTTTTTTTATCTTTTCTTTTTTTTGTTCGAATGATAAAAGAATTTACAGCTGTTTCAGTCTTATGTATATGAATAAGACACTTCAATTCAAATGTGTCAAGTCACTTTTGATATGTGATTATTATCTAGTCTTAAGATAATTTGTTTTCTTTATTTTTTTATATGACTACCGTTGTTTTTTTTCTTTCTTTCTCGATGTAAAAGAAGGGCAAAGTCGACTAGCAATAAACAACAATTTTTCTCTTTTTTCTTCTTCGCTTTTTTTTCCTCGCTGTCTTGCTCTTATATCCTTTTACATTACCGATTTTAGCTACTGGAAAGAAAAAAGAAACAAAAGCAAATGTTTTGCTGCACTCATTGCTCCGATGGCAGATATAATTTTCAAAACAGTAAATAAGCAAAACAATAAGATGACGACCTAACCGTCTTCTTCTCTCTTTCGCACACACACACACCTTTTCTCTCTTTCTTTCGCTCTCTCTTGATTCATATCTATATATATACATATATGTATACGTGTATATATCCAGCTGATAGCTTCGACTTTGTGCACAGACATATACACCTGTTGCGTATACTTGGCTTGAGTAAGGAGAAATCTAGAACACATAATATATATCACCATACTACGACATATTCGGCTGATTTGGACTACCACTCTTTCTGGTAAATAGAAAAAAGAAACGAAGTGTTTCGAATACAGTATGTTCGACGTAATAGTATATAGGAATGGCAGAAACGAGAGAACAAGTAGGTTTTAGTAACATGTTGTATAGTTCTCTCTAGCATGGAATCCTCTCTCTATTTTTTTTTGCGTCGCCAAATAGATAATGATAACAACAGCAACAAATCACCTGACCTAGGACATTTAGTTGCTCGCAAAATAAAGATCATGCATTAAGCATGCATTCTCATCATGACATAAATGTGAACAAATATATAAGGAAAAAGGAAAAATATATTAGATATGCTCATAAGATGAACTATTGACCGCTATAAAATCAATATACATATGCTTGCTTAATATCCAACCATTTCTTTTAAATGAAAAGAAAAAGAAGAAAAAATAGAAGCCTTGATAAAAATCTTTCCACCATTATGACATGCATCGATCACGCGTTGCCCATCTGGTGTCTTGTTTTTTTGTGTGTGTTTGTTTGACTTTCTATAAAAATCCATTGAATACATACCGACTTACAGTAAATAACAAATTTTCTCTTGTTCGTTGTAGACAAACAAATTTGTGAGAAAGAAGTTTGATTGTTGTTATATATCAAACATTGTATTTTTCTCGTTTTTTCTTTTTGTTTTTAGGAAGATTTAAACGATTCAACAAAATCTCCTTTACTTATTGATAAAACACATCAACAACAAATTAATTGGCCATCATTACATAATTCTAAGATGGCTCATGTACTTATTCAACAACAAACACATCGTACACCAAATATGAATATAAATAGACCAACAACATCAGAAAAAAATGCGTCACTACTGATGAGACATTCTGTAGATGACAGATTATTTTTTCATGATTCATCACAATTAATAAATTTACTAAAACGTTTTGCATCTGAACCACAAATATCACAAAATCATATACAATCAACAAATACAAATGGACAATATAATAAAACATTTAGAGATTTTACTTTATCATTACCTATATCAAATCCATGTGTAAAATTAAATGAACCAGAAAAAGATGAAATTGATTTTGATGATATTCTTATATTCAACTGTGATAAAATTCAACCGGTGTCTACCTCTACAACAGAAAATTTAACCAGTGATAAAACAGACAATATAAGTTCTTCTACGACTATTAATCATTCATTGGAACATATAATAACAATAAATGATAATTTAGATAATCTACAATTAAATGATGATTTAAAAAGTTCACAAATTAATGATAATTTAATTAGCACACAAAAAATTGATGGTTTAATAAATCCACAGTTACATGAAGATATTCTACTTGAAATAAATTCATCTGTAAATGATAATGACACGCATGGTGAACGTCATTTTCGACGACGAAAAAGACGTTCGTCATTAACAAGAACTTCAATATCACTTGATGATACACAATCAACGACTGATTTACTTGCAAAGGTTGATATTAATAATTCATCAAAACAAGATAATAATGAAAATTTAAAATTAAAAGAAAATGAAGATAAACAAAATACGAATACTACTGAAATAAAAATTCCAGAAAGTCAAGAATCTAATCAAACGACTGATGATTCTGAAACATCCGCTCCAGTTAGTCGATATCGTGGAAGGCGTAAGTTAATCTAATCTCAAGAATATTCCTATATGTCATTTATTTTTCTTTCTAGGACTAAGACATCGATTTTATCGTCGTGGAGCATCATCATTACAAGAAGTTACCTCCAATATTTCGTCTGACCTTTATTTATCTAATAAAACATTTAATATTGAAACACCTACAATTCCTCCATTAGATTTATCATCATCAGAAATTAAATCACCACATTCATTAACTAAGACATTCATTTCAAATGTATCAAATGGTGGTCTTAAACGTGTGAATTCAATTGGATCAACAAAAAAAAATGTTCGTTTTGCTGATTCTATTGGTCGTGAATTAGAACAAGTGCAATATATACAATCAGCAATAAATGATGATTCAAAAGAATTATCATTTTTTTTAAGTTCATCATTTTTATCATCATCACCTCCATCATTTACAAAAAATAATCTCTATTTACCAAATACATCATTTCTAGAACATAAACCATGGTCATTTGATGTTATGTTTAAATCTAATAAACAAATTAATGATAAATCATATTTAAAAAGATTTTTTTGTTTATATCGTCAACCAAATTCCGAACATCCAGATATATATTTACGTGAAATATGGAAATCTCAAATTAAATTAGAACATGCCGATATACCATTAAAATATTCTTTAACCGGTGAACAACAACTTATTGGAACATTATGGGTTACAAATATTGGTTTTTCAAAATATGTTTCTATTAAATATACATTTGATAATTGGTTAAATACATATGAATTTGAAGCTCAACATTGTCGTCATTCAAATGATTTTCGTAATATTGATCAATTTCAATTTATAGTTAATATACCAAAAAACATTGATCGAATTGATTTTATTTTACGTTATTGTGTTAATGGAGGAGAACATTGGGATAATAATGAAGGAAAAAATTATACATTACAAACTGACTCAACTTATACGACTTCAACAACGATTTCATTACCACATGATTGTGATTTTAATGAAATGAGATTTTATTAAAAAAACACAATAATAGAAAGCTTCTTTTTTTATTACAGGAAGAGAAAAGAAAATAAAAGCAAGGCAAACTATGTTTTACATAGTGTATGAAAAAAACAAATAGAGTGTATCTGTATGTATAGCGATCAGAGTTGTCTTTCATTTTTCTCTTGTGTATATCTTTTTCTCTTCGTTAGTGTTTTTTTTTTGAATCGATGCTTGAAATGTCAGTCGCGTGACTAGAACAAGAGAGATGTATATCAATTCGATTTTCATTTCTTCTTCTGTAGCTGATAGATTTTTTTAACTAAAATAAACATATAATGATATAAAAAAAATGTCTATATAGAGCATATTATTGTTTCTGCCCTTGCAATACATTGCCCTTAATGTACTTTATAGAAAAAATTACTGACAAGGACACATTGATCGAATAGAGAAATGTTTCTTTCGTCATAGCATTTTAAAGTGTTCTCTTTTAAATAAAATTCATTATAATGTTTCATACACTATAGGTCGAGTATGTTGTTTTACTTTTTTCTCGATATATGATTTTAAATAAAAATCATCTTTGTTGACAATTAAAAAAATGAAACATGATATAATAGAATTTGTAATGGACCATTAAAATAAAAAGAAAAAATATATATAACATTAGACTGAATGGTATTTATCAATGTCTAAAACATAAGAAAGTATTACTGATAAGGTTTGAATATAAAAAACAAAAAAGAATATTACTTTTCATTGTTTAGACCAATGAGTAAAAGACAGAGTCAAAAGAATTTTCAAACTTTATACATTTATAGCATTGTGAATATCTGATAAATATTTTACAGCATTTTATTATAGTGATGACAGGATCATTTATCAATATATTACATTTCATAGGGAAAGTATGGTAAATACATATTATTTATCAAAGTCATAGATAAGCTCATAGTTAAACTCAGATTCTCGATGATATGTCAGTTAAGAAAAAATACTTATGTTTTTACTTCATTGTAATCGTGAAATTATATACCATCCAGAATAAACACAATAAATGAGTGTTCTTTCTTCTTATATAATCTCGAGTTGATTCAGTAGTCTGAATTTTGCAAAGAAGCTTCTATTTGCCAAACAAATTCATATAAATACAAAAACAAGTTACTTTTATACCTCATTATTAAAACATTCCTAACTGTATTTTTAGAATAAATTTAGCATTTAATTTTAAAAAAAATAAATTTTGTACTGGACTTTGATATGCACCGATAGAAGAGTGTGTCAAGTTGATTATCAATACTTCTGTCATGTAGACTGCGATTAAGATGATTTGTTATGTGTTTGGACAAATGATGTGCGATAAATTTTATATATCTAATAAGACAATACAAAAATAAGCTTGAAGAAAACATATGATCAAAATATGAGATGAGACTAAAAAATCTAAGTATATTTAGATATGCAAATAAACTTTTGAAATAATTATTATATTATTTTTTCTAAATATCAATTATAAGAATGTAATTATAATAATTCATTCAAATTAATTAAAATATTCATATAATTTATTTATTTATCATGTTATCTAACAGAATAAAAATAACGAGAGAATAGCGCCAAATGATAAATCTTATCTCATTAGGCAGAACAAGATACGCACTGAAATGCACTTTGCTTTTTTGTTTTCGAGATATTAAAAGAAAACTAATTCTGAAAAGATGAATTCATAATATTTTCTTCCATAAGGTTATAATAATCAAACTATCTTTTCGATACATATTGAGAATTTAATTTTAAAAGTACAATCAGGAAAAGATATTTGTAACATGTACAGCAGGCGGGTCTTCTGTATTACAACATGCATGTGAGTCAAGATCAATACTCAGATAAAAAAAATCAGATGTATGATCTTGCAGATAACATAATATTATATGAAAATCGAACAAAAAACCATCATTTCTGTAGTCATACACTATGTTCCACTATAAAATTTTTCAAAGATTTTACTATCATAATAAGAACATAAATCTGCCATATACTTATGTTACACATTCAAAAGATTAGAAAGATAGATCATGAAATTTTGCATATTTTTGTATATTTATTATTATTTTTTGTTCAATACAATATTCGAAGAGTAAATAGTCGTGGAAAATTTGTTACCTTTGAATATTTTGAATAATAACGATGATAATCATTATTTTTTCTTCTTTTGTAAACTCAATATGAAAAATAATACAGTAGATCGATATACTTGTTTATCTTCGAACAGAATGACGTATTGATTGTATGTCTATCGATTAATGTATGATGGGTTAAAATGAGTACAATCTATTACCAACCTGACCTTCATACACTAAACGATAGATATAATCAATGCGTCGCTCTATTCATATTGAGTTTACAAAAGAAAACAAATGGTACTCATCATTGTTATTATTCAAAACATTCAAAAGTAATAAATTTCCCTCATCAATTTCCCTTTCCAATATTGCATTGAATAAAAAATAATAATAAATACACAAATATGTGTAAAAATTCATGATCTATTTTTCTAACGTATGAGAAGTGTCTATAGTTTTAACCTTTTCGCGATGGGTGTTCCATATATGGGACGGTAACATTTTTCCTTACAATAGAGGGTCGTCACTTGTATTTCGAGAAACTCAATCATTTTAGCATCAAATGATAGGTCTCGTTGTCAAACTGCGAAATACAAAATTTGGCGTGCCAATGGCCTACTTTGAGGGAGATAGCTGAATTGCAAGATGTTATCCAAATGTAAGATGTGCATCATTAAGAATTGGAGTGAACGTTTTTTCTTTAATATTTTTATATGGTTCGATAGAACTCGTCGAGCTCTACAAAACTGTGTATATGAAAAAAATTTCAATCTTGTTTTTTCAGGATAAAAATTTTTAGAAATACCATTTTTTTGTAATATGTGCGAAAAAGACTCGATCCTTTCAGTAAAATCAATTTTTCTCTTTATTTTTACGATCTAAGACGTTTGAAAATATGCCCATTCGATGCAGCATAAAAAATTGCATCTAATGATACAAGTTTGGTTTTCTTTGCATGTGGTGCAATTTATCTTTTTTACACATATTACAGAAAATGGTATTTCTGAAATTTTTATCCTGAAAAAACAAGGTTGAAATTTTTTTCATATACACAGTTTTATAGAGCTCGACGAGTTCTATCGAACCATATAAAAATATTAAAGAAAAAGCGTTCACTCCAATTCTTAATAATGCACATCTTACATTTGGATAACATCTTGCAATTCAGCTATCTCCCTCAAAGTAGGCCATGGGCACGCCAAATTTTGTATTTCGCACTTTGACAATGAGACCTATCATTTGATGCTAAAATGATTGAGTTTCTCGAAATACAAGTGACGACCTTCCATTGTTAGATACAGGTATTAAATTGTACTCAAAGTGCAATATGATATTTATATCTAAAGAGTTCTTTCTATTATAAGGATGGAGCCTGAAAACGTTAGAATTTTTGTAGAAAAGATGTACTTTTAGTGTAAAACTTCTATATCTTAGGAAAAATGTTACTGTTTCATATATGGAACACCCGTCGCGAAAGGGTTAAATGAATAAGTCAACGTAGCTATTTTTTTTTGCTTCAATATATAAATAAATGTAGCTTAAACGAGTTTCTTTTTTTGTTTAATTTTCGGTCTTTTCAACTATCTTCAAAATAGAAATACAAATTTAATATAAACATTAAAATAAACTTCATTATCATATTATGCTAATGAAGTTTATTTTAATGTTTATATTGAATTTGTATTCATGTTGTGACGATGATCAAAAAGACCAAACATAAAATAAAAAAAGAAACTCGTTTAAACTATATTTATCTTATATATATACATTGGACGTATAAACGAGAGAAGTGGTAGATCTACGATCCTATCCGGAGGTATCATTTCAACATCAGTTTTCTTCTAATGTCTCAGAATCAACTTCAAAACTAGTTTTGACTTTGATGCATACCTATGTAAGACCTAGTGAGACTAGAGAAAGTCTACAAGAACTTGCGCTCATGGGTTTTTTTTCTCATGAGTAATGACTAATTCAGTGATTTCTTTTAAACAAAAAGCTATGTTTTAATTTAGATCACTGTAGAAATCAATCTCCAAGTTTTGACTTTCATTTTTTTCATGATTAAAATTTTCCATGGAATTGTAGTCCTTTACTCTCAAAATTAGGTTGAAATTTTGATTTTGTTTTTTCAGTTTTGATGTTTTTCTTCTATGCTTTATTTGCGATAAAAGATATTTACTGCGTATTAAGGCTATGATCATATAAAAGTTTCGACCCACTATACAACTAGCCCTATTCTAAAAAACAACAACAGCTATCTGTTAAAGACATAAACACCACCAAAATCGGGAACTGATACTATATCAGTAGATCGAGATGGTTCCACGAACACCCATATCTGCTACCAGTGAATAGATCGATTTGACTTAAGCACATACAGAAAATATTAGGCTTTTATATGCTAACCTTAAAAAAATAGAATAGATTTATGTTCTCAATTATAAGGCTTAAAATCGACAAAATACATCCCCTCTATTTTTCTAAGGCTAGCATATAAAAGTCAAATAATTTGGATGTGTTCCTAAGTTGAGTTGGCTTACTCACAGGTAAAAGATATGAGTGTTCGTAGAATCAGTTTGACGAGTTCGATCTACTGATGGTATTAATTTGCGATTGGAGTATGTTCACGCCTTTCATAGATACTCGACAATAGCTATTCACAAATAGAACTAATGATTAATTTAATGAATTGTTCTTATTCGAATGAAGATTGATTTTGAAAACTACATGTTCATTAGCGATGGTATTGAACATGATGATTATCAGATGATATGGTCAGAAAAAGAAGTATGGTTACTCATAAATGTTGGAACAACTTATTAACGAAGATCCTTTGTCGAGAGAGCCGATACATTATATTAAGAATGCAAAGAATTACATAGAAGTCGACAAAAAAAAAGATGAAGATGTTGATATTAATATAGAAGAAAACGATAACAGTGAATAACTTTCATTAAACACAAGTGTCGAGGACGGTCCTTCTGAATTTGGTAATTAGAGTGTCTGATAGACATTAAAAATATTACTTTTCTGTATAAATCTGTTAGTAATATTATATAATCGCTAGTGTTCTCTAGCAATCATTCCAATTTGGTGATCAAATAAGAAAAATTCGTTCCAGAAGAAATGACTAAACAAGCCATTTGTCAATCTGTATTTTTGAGACCAAAGGACTATGTTCCACTGAAAAAATATCATGTTATAGTATTTAGAACATATCGAAAATAGTAATTTTGGCAGATAAAAGCCCACAAGAAAGAGTTAATCAAGTTTTTGTTTCAACATGTCTTTAAGCTAGTAGCCATGCTTAATTATGCATAATCGATTTGTTGAAAGTATTTTTCAAATAATCTTTGATTAAAAGATTCATCATGTCGGTTACAGCATTCAATACAGCAAATACAATGACATGATAGTAAGTGACAAACTTTGGATATGTCACACATAAATCGGTTCAGATTTTTCGAACTAGAAGAATTGCAATCGAACAATCTCCATCAGCTATAATTTGGTATTTTATACTTATTATTCTACAGATAGAGTACTATGTATTTTTCAGGTGCTTGATTTAATCGATAAACTTCATCAATCAAACAACTCTAATCACTGCATGGAATGTCGTAACCGAGATGATAAATTTTTTAATTAGATATTATTTGAAAAATAGTTCCAGCAAATATTTTCAAACAAATTGATTGTGCGTGATTAACCATGGCTACTAGCTCAAATAGTTGATTAACTCTTTCTTTTTTTCACAACAATTGTTTGAAAAATCAGTCGAAAATTTTGACTAGAATACTTATAACTCCTGAATAACTAAATCTAAAAATCTGAGGCTTGAAGATTTTTGTAGATTTTCCATTAGCAGTTCGGATACACGTCTAATAACTGAAAATTTAGTATAGTCATCCCACAGGGTACGTTGCTTTTCAAAAAGATTGATTTTATAACTTTAAAACAATTTGTAATATACAATTCAATGCATCTTCATTTCCTCTTTCTAAAGATGAAAACCACAGCTCTCTATCTTGTTTCTATTAAAAGTTAATGAAAAAAAAATTTCCATTCACATTTTTCTTGAAATCAGTATTAGCTTCATTGAAAACTTTGTGCAAAATTTGGAGTCGAAACTTCAATGTCAATTTTGATGGTGATCCAAAGCATTATGCAGAGCTAGAAAAGTACAAGTACCACAAATATCATACGAGCACTGACCACTCAGATCACCGGTACACGTAGAAGTACCAATCCTTTCGAGCACGAGTACTTGTCCAGTTCTGGCATTATATTTAAAAATATACTACACTAGTCATAATTCATTAGACAAAAAAAAAATCAATGAGCGGAAATCCGTTCATGTTAATGCATAAAATCATGAGCATATTTATCCTAAGATATTAAATCTAAAGAGTTGTTTATTATGAAAAAAAGAAAAATCAAGGACAGAAATAAAGACTAAATTAGTTTTTAAATGGGAGTATCAAACGGGACAATGTTTATAATTAAACATCTTCGCTGTTTTTTCTTTCTTTTGATCTTATTTAAGATCTGATTGTTGTTGTAAATAATTATGATCTTATGATTATTCAGATGATTCTTCTTCTTCATCTGTTGGCATTTTAAATTGTGATTGAACATGTTTCCATAATTTGCCTTGATTACGACGTTCAAACATATAATCCGCTGTTTTATCTATCAAACGTTCATAAGCAAATACACCAACAACAACTGATAAGGCAATTGTTGCCGAACGACGAAAAAATAAATTATAAATTGTTTTTGTAACTGATGACATTGCAAATTATCTGGAATAAATAATTAAAAAGAATATAGTTTGTTTTTTTTTTTGTTCAAAAATTTACATTAAACTTATCCTCTGATAATATCTATACAATTGCAACCAAAGAAAAACTAATCTTTCAGTCTGGAATAATTATATTCAAGAAGGTCGAATAAATCAAAACAAAAGACAAATGTTAAGAGTCTATTGATCTTTCTTTCGAGAGACATAGTTATTTCGTTGGTTGTATACTGTATTTTTATAAGTCATCAAACGAAAAGATTTTAATCTAAACGTGACTTTTCTATGATACTAGATCACACAAATATATTTTCCTCGAAAATTCAGAAAAATCGAATTTTTCGAATAATTGAACATTTGAGAAGAAAATAATCAATTCATTTAATTATTATTCATATAAAATCATAATTTACGCGATATGAAAACTTATTAAAGACATGTATATCAGCTAAACTAATTAAAATCTTATATTAACTCTATAAAATTTTATTACTATTCTCACTTGTACACTAAATCTTGTTTTTTGATGAAAACTCAAATACAAAAAAAACAAAACATCGCTAACAAGATAAATCATCCTTATTGCTTTTCTTTTTTTTTTTTTCTAAAATATGAAATGCAAAATTAAGACTACAATTCAAACATGAAAAAGAAAAATAAATTTATCAATAATTTTTGTTTTTCAATAGAAAAAAAAATACATGAGAATATACAAGAATGGATAGAAAAAAAGTGAATTGAAATATTTCTGAGCGCTTCCCATGAGTATGAAAATCACACAACAAAAATACAAGAAAAAAAAAGACTAAATTGAAACAATATATTTAATTTTAAGTAAATTGTGCTTTATAATTTAAACTGTTCTTTTGTATTTGTTTTTCTTTTTTTTAGTTTTGTTAACAATAAGCTGTTAAATTAATGAACAAAAATATATAACATGATTTATTTTACTAATCTAATTCTCATTAATTATATATAAATATTATCCATTTGTTCTTGGCCATGCATCGAAACCAAAAAGAAGACCAATAATTAATGCAATACCACATATAATAGATAAAATACAAAGTATAAGAGCACGTTTATTAAGTTTATGTGAATCCATAACAAAACCATCACGAAATTTACTTTGTGCTTTACGTGCAAATGCAAACGCGAATAAACCTAAATAATAGAAAAAAATTATAAAATAATCAAAAAGAAATCTAATTAATTAAATATACCAAGTGGAAAAAATAAAATGATACATAATATTGCTAACCATCTCCAATCTGATGGACGACGTGGTGCTTGTGGATCAAATTTTTGACGACGATTTACTAATGTAGCAGAACTTTTTGAACTTGGTACACCACCAATTGCTTGAGCATTTGAACCATGTGTTCTTATTGTTGATTGACTTGAATATAATGGATTTGTTGGTCGAACTTGTGGATATTCTTTTCAAAATAAATATTTTTGATTTTCATTATATATTAAAATTATTTATATTATATTTTAATTTACCTGCATATCTTGATATTCGACTTGGTACGGAAGTTTGTGATCGTTGATCAGTTTCAGTTGAATATTGATGAGCATAATATGTTTGATTTTTATTTATATTAGCATCACCATCACCACCACCACCTCGAAGATCAATACGAATATCATTGAATGCCGATTGCTCATAATCACCCGTTCCATGACGCATCTAAAATTTAGATTTATTAAGATTTATTTATTTTTGTTTTATTTTTTTAAATAATGAAAAATATTAAGATTAGATTAAAGTATAGAGCACTGTCCTACTAGATGTATATTCTCATCGTGTAATAACCACCGGTTTTTTTCACTCTGCATTGATGACGAGTCAGATGAAGTTTCGTCGTCGTTGATGTTATTTTTCTATCAATGACAGAACAAAAAGAGAAAGAGAGAGAGAGAGAAAGGCCTAGGATGTAGTGTAAAATAAAATTCATTCGATCCCACGTGAATAAATATGGAAAAACTTAATGTATGTCTACGTGTGGTTGTCTCTCTTTTTCTTCTATCATAAGAGGAAAAAAAATTATTTCTTCAAAAAAAAAACAAGGAAAAAAAAACCTTTTCAATGTCGTCCTTCATCGTCAACTTAATTCTTCCTTGTTATGTGCGCATGTATGTAACATACATATAAAAATGCAAGTTGAGTTTTTTCTTTTTTCTTTTTCGTCAATGTTCTTTTCTCTTATTATTTCAGCTCTTCTATTATAAAAATGGGGAGTAGTTGCAGCAGCAGCAGCAGCAGACGCGAAGGAGAAACAGTGAAAAAAATTGAGAAAGAGAATAAGAAAAAAAAAACGAGAGAGAAGAAGAAAAAAGAGGCAGAGATTGAAATTGTAATAGGTGTACTAGAGTCGTCATCAATGTTTCATTGAGACACGAGTTTCTTTTGAAAGAATGAAGGTCAAATCATCCAACAAAAAACAATAAAAAGAAGGAACATATGTTTATGTTATATAATTAACATAGCTATACTATTTCATATTTCAAACACTTTTTTTTTCATTTGAACACTCGAGTATTGTAAATTAATATAAGAAAAAACAAACAAATGATTATTAAAAAGAAAATATCTATATGCATAACAAGTTCTTATAAGATACTTTTTTATATTCAAACATAAATATGATTTAAATCTAAATTTTGTTATGTATTTCTTAAGTAGAACAGAAAAAGTCTAACAAGCATATAATGAATCATTTGAAAATAAATACATTATAATGTTTGATATAATAGTGCATATGAATCATTTTTGTTATTTGAATAAAAAAAAAAAATATGATTTATTACCTAAATTAGATAAGAATTTTGCATGTATGAAAGTCTTTTACTCATTGTCAGAATATTTTTCATAATTATTATATACAATACAGTTAACACAGAAGTCCTTGATTTTAAGGTAAATTGAAAAGCAAAATAATTTCAAAAAGTATAACGTGATTTTTGAATTGAAATTTCTATGATAATCAAATCTATTTACATAATATTGTTTTTTTTTTTTATAAGATTCTTATCTAGAAGTTAAAAATGCGAGAAGACAAGTTTTTGAATGCCACTTAGATGAAATACAGTTAGTATCTCTCTACTATCGAACTCACATTTTGCAATATGTAATAGAGATGAAGATAAGAAAAAAATTCGTAATTTACATAAAAAAAAAAAAACATACAAAGAAGATATTCTGATCTACTTTACCGGACAAAATGTTTAATGGGTATGTTGTAACCTTAGTCGAAGGAAAATTGTGATAAAGTCTATTTAATCTTACTCAGATTTTTCGTACAGTTCTTTTTCATTTAATGATGAATAATTCAATATTTACTTCAATGTTTTCTAAGTTTGCTTGGTTACGAATATATTATGATCAACTGCCGGAGGTGACGAAAAATATTAGCATTTGTACAAAAAAATATGATGTGCTGCTTAAATCTACCAATCTAATGGAAGAAGAAATGTGTTAGAGCCTACGAAATGTAAATCTAGGATATGTTTTCACTTTTCCAAGCTTTCTAGTTCCACCGCTTATGTTATAACCGTAAATTCATAATTAAAGACAAATTATCATTTAGTTTAGTAGACTCAGAAACTTTTAAGATCGAAATTTTTTTTTGAATCAAACTCATGATTTATAATGTCTAATATTGGTCTAAGCCTCTTCTTCGAATATCGATCTCGAGCCAGGTACATTACCGTCTTTTGCTGTAAATAACATATTTTTTTGAGTAGGTGATAATAGTAATCATCAAAAATTTTGCGCAAAAAACCTAACAACCAACGTTCTGATGTTTTGTGTACAAATTAGTTACTTATAAGTTGCGGAAAAAATGCGAATGAGTTGTAGTTTTTTTTCCTTATGTACTATAGTCTTTGTAATTTTGAGAATTTTTTCGATTACTATGTATGTGAATGAGCGGTATGACTATATCATTAAAGAAACTAAGCCATTCGTTCATCACTATCGTATGTGAGAGATAAATGTATACTTTAGACCTAACGATTGTATAAGAGGACGACAAAATATCTAAGACGTCTCGTTTAATACACGATAAAGACTTGCCATGGATGAATATTGACAATGAATTGAAAGAAAAGAAAATTTGAAAAAGGTAAAGATTTCGTCATCGAATCACATTTTAAGAAATGGTTATGTTTTCCTTAATGTTAATTTCTTCAGAAAAGAATAAATTGATATCATTTGTTTAAAAAAAAGAAATTATGAAAAAACATTCTTCATCATTCTTCTGCTGACGTAAATATTTTATTATGAAAACATAAGATGCATATTAGGTTTTATCACCGAAATGCTGTCTTTAATCATAGTAATAAAAATAACTTGACAAAACTATAAATCAGCTTCAGAATTAGGTAATGATGTTCTAAAATCTCTTCACCTTTTTTTTATTCTTTTTTTCACACAAAGTAACTTGATCACTCGATGGTAATTAAATTGCGATCTTTCTGATGAGACTAAAATTTTCATTAAAAAAAGTCAATTAGTTCTATGGATGGAGCGTAAAAAAAAGTAATAACATTAGCACACTTATATGTAGAATCAGATATATCTTGTTTTTGACTAAAAATGAATTACAAAGTATTGTCTTCTTATCATGACGATCCGTTTACGGTGAAATATGAAACATTAACTAGGTCGTATGTCTGCATAAATACAGGGTCAATAATACGATGACATTATGGCGTCATATACAGATAGTAATACTAGATATGTTATAACGATCATTTATGGTGATTTGTAACGATTGACCTGGGGAGTATAATCTACATAGTTTGAGAACACGTGATCGGCTTTCATAGAAACCATATTTGTTCATATGAAAATGAAAATGCATAATGAATATTGATTTTAACTAATACTACTTTAGCAGAATTTGCTCTCTTATATATATGAAGCCATAAAGGTAAAAACTATGTTTTTCTATGCTATCGACATTGCTCTACAGGAAGATTACATT